CAAGATAGCATTGTCAATGGCACTCATGGAGTTACTGGAGAAAACAAGGGTCCTTTCACCCACAGTCTCATAGATAAAAGAATTAAAAAAAAATACAAGAAGGAAACTCAAGGATAATTTTATTAGTTTAATGTCACGTCTACCTTGACCAGCAAGGAAAATGCAACGCTCAGACTCTTCTTTAAGCAGTTTATTCAGGAACCTTGTACAATCTTCTGACCCCAGGGCAGCCCGGCCCACAGCTTAAAAGTCCTTGGGCAGTCAACCCCAGAATGCCATGTGGTGAAAAACAAAAACAGACAGGTCCGCATACACAGAAGCAAGCCAGATTCTCAGCTTTTAGCCAAATATGGAATTGTTTAATACAGACAGCACTCACCATCCGGAAGGTGGAGGGCGGAAGCCAGCGCCATCTTTAAGGCGCGGCACTTCTCAGCCCTCTACAGTCTCTACAGTTTAAGAGAAAATTTACACTCCAGGCAAGCTAGAGACCTCAGCAGCTGCCAGGTGGAGAGATATGGAAACGTGTAAGAGAGGAGGTCATGCATACTGAATTTCTTTCTTTTTCCCCCTTTCTTTCTCCCTCCTCTCTGTTTTTTCTTTCCTTTTCTTTTTTGGTGTTTTGAGACAGGGTCTCTCTGTGTAGCAGCTCTATCTGTCCTGAATTAGGTCTGTAGACCAGGTTGGCCTCGAATTCACAGAGATCTGCCTGGTCTTGCCTCCTGAGTGCTGGGATTAAGGATGTGTGCCACCACCACCTGGCTAATTTTTTATATATATGCCACCAGGCAGTGGTGGTACATGCTTTTAATATCAGCACTTGGGAGGCAGATCTCTGAATTCTAGGCTAGCCTGGCCTACAGAGTTTCAGGGCAGCCAGAGCTACACAGAAGCGCCCTGTCCTGAATCCCCCACCCCCACCCCCACACCTTTCTGTGCCCGTTGCTCATGGAGGTCAGCAAGGGTGTTGCATCCCCCTGGAAATAAAGCCACATGATTGTGGCTGGCCTGGTAGGTACTGGGAGTTGAACCCGGGTCCTCTGGAAGGGTAACAAGTGCTATTAACCACGGAGCCATCTCTCCAGGCCTGCTTCGTAAGTTAGAAAGCAGGTAGTTAGGAGTGTGAGCATCTGCACGGCAGGGGCATATTTAGAGAGAATGAGAATATTACAGGGGATTCAGGGTTGCCAGTTCTTAGTCTCATTAGTATGCTAATTTCAAAAGGATCTAGAAGCTGGCTGTACTGGGACACACACCTTTAATTCCAGCTTTTGGAGGTAGAGGGTCTCTGTGATTTTTGAGGCCAGCCTGATCTACATAGTGAGTTATAGGACAGCCAGAACTATAGAACTACATAAAGAGACTCTGTTCCCAGAAAACTAACTAACTTGGATTCTGAAGAACACTTAAGGCCTTTTTTTTTTTTTTTTTTTTTTTTTTTTTTTTGAGATAGGATTTCTCTGTGTAACAGTCCTAGCTGTCCTGGAACTCACTCTGTAGGCCAGGCTGGCCTCAAACTCACAGAGATCCACCTGCCTCTGCCTCCCAAGTGCTGGGACTAAAGGTGAGCGCCGCCACCGCTAGGCCATGCACCACCACTGCCTGGCCTTGAAGGCCATTTTTAAAGAAAGATTATTTTTATTCATGTGTGTGCATGTGTGTGTATGTGCACAAGTGTGTAGTACCTGTGGATGCCAAAAGATGGCATCAAGACCCCCAGAGTTGGAGTTACAAATGGCTATGAACTGCCTGACTTGAATGCGGGGGATCGAACCCCAGTGCTATGGAAGAGCAGCCAGCACTCTTAACCACCAAGCTGCCTTTCCAGCCCTTTGGGGACTATTCTATTAGAGTTCGGAAGAAAACCAGGGATCAGGCAAGGTGCAGTCTTGGTGGCTGAGAGGAGGAGAGATGATCATGACTTTTGAGTTAGTGTCTAAGAAAGCAGGAAGGACCAGGAATGGGGCTTGGCAATGGTCGGGGTGAGGAGACAATTCAGAGAGAGAGAGTGGGAGGGCCCAGAATATCACGACAGGTATAGTTAGGATGTTGACAGGAATCCAAAAAAGATGTGGGAAGGGGGAAAAGTTACGCTTCATGAATTAGAACTCAGAAAGCAGGCAGGCCTTTAGCAGTAAAGGGCTTCAAGCAATTGCATCAGGGGAAAGCCACTTCCCGGGGTTCGAGGTTCGGGGGTTGCTCGTGAAGGCAATGCTTACTCCTCCCACTTCCTCAGCTTGTCTTCCTGTGAGTCAGCTCTCTCATAGAGCGCTCTCCTCAGCAGGAGATTGACAGGCCCAGTTGGGTTGACTTTTTTTAACTTTCAAAATAAGTTTTAATCATATGCCTTATATACAAATTACTGTATGTACAGTCATTTAATAAAGTGAACTAGTAAGTGAAAAGTAGAAAACACAAAGGTGATACCTTCCCCTTAGTGACCTAGGAAAGGATTGTTCATTGCCCCAAGTTAGTGACAAAATAAACGGAGAGTCATAAACAGGTTAAGGCATTGTAAACGGGCTATTGGAGATACGCAGGGTCCAGTGCTGAACTAGGGGCCTGAATGGTCGACCACCACCTAATTTGTTTCTGTGGGAACAGGGCCAAAAATCTCTAATAAACCAGGGGATTTATAAACATGGTATAGGCTATACTAAAACTGATTTAGTACTGTAGTGCAGCATCTCCCAACTTTAGTAAGTACCAACAATACAGCATAGATCTTTTTGTTTTTTTTTTTTTTGGGGGGGGGTCCTTTGTGTAGTGTTGGAGGCTGTCCTGGAACTCGCTCTGTAGACCAGGCTGGCCCCGAACTCACAGAAATCTGTCTGCCTCTGCCTCCCGAGTGCTGGGATTAAAGGTGTGCGCCACCGACTCCTGGCTACAACATAGATTCTTTTAAAGCGTTAATCAACTGTGTACATATTGCACTAGGTAAGTGAACACTGCTTCCAAGCACCCAGAGCCCTGAGTACTCAGGCAGGAGCAAGCAGCCTGGACATGCTAACTTGATGTGCTCCGCTCCCGCGAAGTCTCTGGCCTCATGATTCGTAGAGGAGCTTGGTACCGTGCATGGCTGCCAGCCATGTGCTGCCTGCCTCTTGCTGCCGTTTGCATCCTCTCCAGCCATCAGCCTCAGCTGTGTTGCAGCCTCTGCCCCTGGCACTGTGTACTGCAGGAACATGCCTGCGGCTCCAGTGCTACCTGCTCCAGGAGTGAAGCCTTCTGTGAGAATCTGCACAGTACAGACATGCGCAATCTCAATTTCATGATGGCTGTCCCCATCCAGACTCATGCATCTCTGGTTGTTGGAGAGATGACAAACCATGGTTTCAGGCTTCTCTGAGTCCCCAAAAGTAACAAGGAAGGTAGCTCCACTTAGAAGCACCTTGAGCTGCTTGTCATAAAGCTCAGGCCTCACGGTGAGCCACCAGTACACACTGGGTCCACAAAGCACACGCGCCGAAGTGGCATCTTCTGACTGCAGCACCTGTTGCAGAAGCATTTCCCACAGCGGCGGCAGTGGCGCTTTCTGGTGATAAAGTCAAATTTGGCATCACACCGCATACAACTTTGACACTCCTTGTACAGGACCCACTGCGGCTCCTCCAAGCCGGACAGGCTTCCGAAGGCACGGTGCTCCGGCACCATGCACAGGCCGCTGGGCTAGCGCACAAACTTCTTGGCGTCGAGATGCGTGGCCACCCCTGTGGACTTGTCTCTGCCTCGGGTTGACTCTTAAGGATGGTAGGGGGTGTTCTGATCTTCCTGTCAGACCGGAATGTTAAGTCTCCACCTAGGCAGAACTCAGATTTCATTCTTCTGACCAAGAGGAAGTAAATTTTCTTTAACAGCCCTCAACAAAACCTTGATAAGTTCTATCTTCATATGATATTTTACAACTTAGCAAGGACACTTATGATGCTTTCCCTCCTAGTTTTACCAAGAGAATGGGAGCTGAGGCCCAAAACTGTTATCAAGGGTGTGTGCGCAGAGGTTCATCTTCAAGGGCCCTCAAGCCACAACGGTGGGCAGACCTAAAGAAGCAGGACTTGTGCTAGGAGGCGGGAATTCTGGGTCAAAAGAAAAGCACAAGCTGGGGTCACCTGGCAAGGGGGAATCTCAACTGAGAAAATGCCCCATCAGATTGGCCTGTAGGGAAGTCTGTGGGTATTTTCTTGACTGATGATTGATGTGAGAGGTTCAGCCCACTGTGGGCGGTACCACTCCGGGGCAGGTGGTTCTGCGGTGTACAATGAAGCAGGCTGAAGAAGCCAGGGAGAGCAAGTCAGTAAGCAGCGCTCCTCCATGGTCTCTGCTTCAATCCCTGCCTCCACGTTCCTGCCTCCACATTCCTCAGTGAGGGAGTGTGACCTGGAAGTGTAAGTCAAGCGAACCCTCTCCTCCCCAAGTTCCCTTTGGTCTTTATCACAGCAATAAAAGCCAAACTATGATGAGACCCTAGTGGGAGGCTTTGGTCTTGAAGAGTGATCTTGATTCTGAGGGCCCATGCTGAGCCCCAGAGGAATTGGTCGCCTGAACTTGACCCAAAGTTCTGACAACAGAGGTGGCTACTGTGGAAAACTATAGCACATTAAGTTTATTTGAAATTAGGGATTAAAAATTCATTTAACCTTCCCTTCAGGAGCCCAAGACCAGCACACTAGATATCTGACTCACAGACCAAGGTCCTTCTGTTCAAGGCGCCCCTCCCTTTTCCAACAGAGATATGGAGCAAAGGGCAAATGAGAAGAAGAAATAGATGAAAACCACAATATTATCACTGGGTCACTCCGAAGCCTTTCGAGTCATAGAAACAGTTTCATTTTCTCTGACCGCTGTTCTGTCTTCTCTTCCAGTCTTACTTGAACTTGAAGGGAGGAGAACGCTTTCTGAATTCAGCTGTTACCAAAAAAGCATCTGACATTTATGAAACATTTGAAGTTTAGGGTCATCGGTGTTCTACTCTGCAGAACTGAGGGTTACTGTGCCCACCGGCTTCCTCACCACGGAGGACAAAAATCCAGACGCCACTTCCTTCTTCATTTACATAGTTCAGATATCAAGTAACAGCTTACTCTCAGGAATGAGTCATGCTCTGTCAGTGCAGATGGCTGTGGGCACACCCGAGGAAACGAAGTCCAGACACACAGTTGGCAGAAGTCACCCTTACCACACAAGCTCCAGAGGAAGGAGTCCAGAGACAGCATGATGAGCTCCGAGGCAGGTAAAAGCGGATGCCAGGTCCTGGCAAGGCACGCAGTTGATCTTTTCCTCTTTACTTTGCTTCCTCCTCTACAGATTTTTGTCATGTTGTCCCAGGCTGGCCCCCAGCTTCTGGCCTCAAGTGATCCTTCTGCTTCATATACCCTCTTGAGTACTTGGGAATGCAGGTAGATGTCTGCTCCCAAGCTTAGCTTAGCTCCATGGTCTTGAAGAGTGCATCATCTGTACATGACTATAACCAACTTATGCTTGGGTCCCTGGGTGCTTTGCAATTTTCCTATTATGATTAATACATTAATATTGTTCTTTAGGTGAATTACTATTCTGATGAAGTATTTATGCCTCCTGATGATTTTGACAAATAACACTAAATCAATGATGGTTTCATGGAAATAAAAAATTTAAGTTAGTGAGTCTGGTGATATTGGCTTGTAATTCTAGCTACTTGGGAGGCTGAGGCAGGAGAATTATTAGTTGATGGTCTTTGTGCATTATAGGGGAAGTTCAAGGCCAAGTTGGGTAACTTAGCAAGAACCTGCCTTTCAAAAGTGTGGGGGAGCTGGAGGGATGGCTCAGCAGTTAAGAATACTTGCTGTTCTTGTTTGATTCCCAGTACCCACACGAGGCTGCTCACAACTGCCCGTAACCACCTGTAAGGGTTCCGATGTCCTCCTCTGGCCCCCACAGGCACCTACACACACACACACACACACACACACACACACACACACACACACACACACCTTAAAAAGCTTTGTTTTTGCTAAGAGGAAGAGTGGGGGTATAGCTTAGCAATAGAGAGCTTGCCTAGCATATGTGAGAGCTTGAGTTCAATCTCTCAGTCCTGCCCACTCTTCTACCTGGAAAAAGGAAAACTAAAACTACTGAAGATAAAACAGAAGTAGTGACACATGGTCTGTATGCTAGTTGACTAACGAGACAATTATTAATTAATGTCAGTAAGGTGTGGTTATTCCCACCTGTGATCTCAGTAGTCTGGAGACAGAAACAGGGGATTACAAGGAATTTGAAGCTCACTTGAGCAGCATAATAGGTTTCAAACCAGCCTAGGCTACAATATGAGACACCCCCCCCCAAATAAACAAACAAATGGTCTGGGGATGTAGTTCAGTTGCTATAGATTTGATTAGCATGCCGGGAACCCTGGGTCCCATTCCCAGCACCACATACAACAGACATGGTGGCTGCTGCCTGTAATCTGAGTTTGAGAGGTGGTATATGAAGAATTACATGTCTAACTTAGGAAGGAAATGATTTCAGATGAAGTGGGATTGGAGCCAACTCCTAAAATTGCATTTTATTATTGTCATTGGCAGAGGTCTGGTCTTTGGATATTAAAAAATGTATTTATCTATTATTTGTTGTTGAGACATGGTCTCATGTAGGCCAGGCTGGCCTTGAGTACACTTGGTAGCAGAGGACAACCTTGACAATTTCTGAAGCTTAGAGATATGGCTGAAGTAGCACGTTGGATACATTTGCCTACTATTTAATTAGTGTGTGGCTGGACACAGAAAATAACTGAAAAAGTGAGGCTACTTGGCCTATTTATTATAATAGACTCTCAAAAACAAGCAAACAACACAATCCAGGGCAACAGCAAGCCAGGGCAATGGCGAGCCATGAGAACAGTGGAGCCATCTGGGAAGGAATGAACATTTTCTTCTGTAGGCTTCAGTCAGGGAGACAGTGGTTCTGCTAATTACAAGTCAGATACAAAAAGCTGCAAGGAAAAAATCAAACTTGTCAAAAGCAAAAGCCCCATACTGTAGGCAGATTTTTCTTTGGGCCTCCAGCTCACCAAAAAAAAAAAAAAAAAAACAAAAACAAAAACGGAGAATTATCAATTACAATTACAAAAGCTCAGACTTAGATTAGCCTTGTTTCTAGCTAACTCATAACTTAAATTAACCTATATTTTAAAATCTATGTTCTCTTATGTGGCGCGGTTACCTTTCCTCTGTTTGTACTCACCATTCTGCTTCCTCTCCGAGTCCTCTCTGTCCCCAGAAGTCCCACCTAACCTCTTCCTGTCTAGCTATTGGCCATTTAGCTCTTTATCAAACCAATCCCAGTGACACATCCTCACACAGGTAAAAGCTGTTCCGCAATGCCATACTCAACAGTTTACATATGGTGGGAGCGAAGCTCTTCCAAGGACAGTTGTCTGTGGGAGATGTAACCATGATGGTGGTGCATAAACCTACTTTTATCCTTAAAATCTCTGACTCTGGAAATACTGGAGAATATACAGGAAGCAGTTCAGGGCAGAATTCACCAACAAGAAATATCCAAAATGAAAGAATGGCAAATAGCCGACTGAGCAGCAACACTGTAGGGGACACTCCACCTTAACTGCTTAATAATCCACTAAGCAGTGACACTGTAGGGGACACCCACATTGCCATAACTGTTAATAATAGAGACTACATCTGTAGGCCGGAAGTATGTAATCCAATTGGACATTCGAAACATCTGATGAGTATTGACAAAACCCGGGAACTTTCACATTATTTTTATTTTAAAAGCAAAACTTTAAACCAAGTTGTATGGAATGCTGAAAAAGTTTTTAAAGTTGGAAGTTCTTCTTCGCCATTTCTATTGCTGTGGCTGTAAGGATTGGGAGGCATTGCAGCATTCATGGACATAGGGTCTTCTCTGTGTGTTTATTAGAAACCCAAGTCTGAATGTAGACTCCAATCATGAATAAAGTGTGTTCAGCTTGCACATTACCCCTGAAACAAACCTAAAAGAAAATAGACTATGCTTGTAGTAGACTTTAGTAAAGTTCATTCAATCGTTATTCAGTACTTTGCATTGTTAACTGACATGTTTTGGGTAGAATGACAGAGCCTGGAATAAGATAGGCATAATCCATTTGATTTCCAATTTGGACCTTTTGGATCCTTCCTTTGAGAAATGATTTTCCCAGTAGGTTGATTTCTTTTTCTTGAGGTTGGACTTCAAGGTGTAGCCTAGGCAGACCTTGAGCTCCATACCCTCATGCCACAATGTCTAGTATGTGGGGATGGGAGGTGTGTGCCACTGTGTGTACTGGCTTCTATTTTCCAATATGATTTGTAGGTCTGGGGGACTAGAATACATTTTCATAGCAGTTCAGTGTGAATTGGATGTTATCTGACAAAGTCATGTCTTGGTTTACAGGTCCTGCTGTTGCTGACCCCACTCTGAGGTAAGACAGGCATAGTGTTTCCCAACTCAATCACACAGAAATGGATGTTTAGGAATTACAGAACTACAGTTTAGTTTTTAGAGTGTAAATCTGCTTGTCTTTATTAAATAGCAAAAAAGCACCTCAGCCAGTTGTGAAAGAAACAGATAATATTTACATTTACGGTAAAATGAAAAGTAGAGGAGTTTTGAAAAGAATATTTATGAGTTTTATTTGCTTATTTCCTTTTTACATACTTTAAAATTAATTAATTCATTTATTTGGGTTTTTGAGACAGGGTTTCCCTATGTATCCCTGGCTGTTCTGGAACTCACTCTGTAGACCAGGCTGGCTTCTAACTCATAGAGATCCGCCTGCCTCTGTCTCCCAAGTGCTGGGATTAAAGGCCTGCACCACCACTGCCTGGCCATTCCTTATCATTTTTAAAATAATGTTTTCTATATTAACATTATCCTGGATATCTGCTTTTACAGGCTTTGCTCAGGTGTGCTGAGCAAGAAGTCCAGTGCTCTAATCAGAGGGGTTTTTAGTGGTGCTTCTAAACAGGCACTGAGGAGCCAGCCCCCTCCCCTCCCTTCCCCTCCCCTCCTCCTTCCCTGCTCCTCATCAGTGTCTTTAGGGAATGAGACATGTCATTGTGCCTCTGTCATGCAGAAAATCAGGTTTCCTGGTGACACACAGAAGTGAACATGTTTTAACCATTTATCTTTTCCTTGTTTATTATTATGGTGTGTGTGTGTGTGTGTGTGTGTGTGTGTGTGTGTGTGGTGTGTGTGTGTGTGTGGTGTGGTATGTGTGTGTGTGGTGTGGTATGTGTGTGTGGTGTGTGTGTGTGTTTGTGGTATGTGTGGTGTGGTGTGTGTGTGTGTGGTGTGGTATGTGTGTGTATGTGTGTGTGGTGTGGTGTGTGTGTGTCTGTGTGTGTGTGTGTGGTGTGGTATGTGTGTCTGTGTGTGTGGTGTGTGTGTGTGTGTGTGTTTGTGGTGTGTGTGGTGTGGTATGTGTGTGTGGTGTGGTGTGTGTGTGTCTGTGTCTGTGTGTGTCTGTGTCTGTGTGTGTGGTGTGTGGTGTGTGTGTGTGTGTGTGTAGCAGTATGCAGGCCTTGACACAAATGTAGAGGTCAGAGGACAACTTGTGGGAGTCACTTCTCTTCTCTTTTCTACCACACTGATGGTGGAGATTCAACCCAGCAGACTTGGCAGCAAGTGCCTTTACCCCCTGAGCCACCTCCTCAGCTCCTGTTTTTGCTTTTGAGACAGAGTCTTGCTATGTAACCCAGGCTGTTCTCAAACTTGTCATCCTCCTGTCTCTGCCTCCTTAGTGCTGAGATTATGTGTGCCACCATACCTGGCAATTTGAAAGACAGACTTTTAAAAGAGAGGGGTGGGAAGGTGATCTCAGTTTGTGGAGTACTTGCCTACATGCACAAAACCACTACGCTAGTTTCAGTTCTTTGGGTAGAGGCAAGAATATCAAATGTTCAAGGTCTGGCTGGGAAGATGGCTCATTGGATACAATGCTTACTGTACTGTACCCTATTTTGGATTGCCAGCACCCTATAAGTCAGGCCTAGTGGAGTGTTTATGTAACCTCAGCACCGTGGAGGCAGAGACAAGTGGATCCAGGAGGCTTAATGGCCAATGAGCTCTAGCTTTATCCAAAGACTGTCTAGAAAAGCAAGGTGGAGGATGTTAGGAGAAGATGCCCAACATTGACCTCTGGCCTCTGCATGTGTACATATGAGCAAGTGCATATGGACATATACATGCAAACATACACACCCAATAAATAAATAAAATATGAATAGAATAGAGAGATTGACGTCATCTTTGACCAGCCTGGAATATATAAGATCTGGTTAAAAAAAAAAAAATGAAGGAAAATGTTCCTTAGATTTCTTAGACTTCATGGGAATCTTTTTGTGTTTCAGGAGAAGAATTGAACCCCAGGAGTTTGAGGTCTTCTTCGACCAGAGGGAACTTCGGAAAGAGACTTGTCTGCTCTATGAGATCAACTGGGGTGGCGGAAGGAATAGCATCTGGAGACACACGGGCCAGAACACCAGCAAACACGTGGAAATCAACTTCATAGAAAAATTCACTTCAGAGAGATACTTTTACCCATCCACCCGGTGCTCTGTCATCTGGTTCCTGTCCTGGAGTCCCTGTGGGGAATGCTCCAAAGCCATTACAGAATTTTTGAGCCGGCACCCCAACGTGACTTTGTTTATTTATGTAGCACGACTCTATCACCACATGGACCAGCGGAACCGGCAAGGACTCAGGGACCTCATCAGCAGAGGTGTGACCATCCAGATCATGACTGAACAAGGTAAGAACAGAATGTCCATGAGAGATGGTAGGGGGCAGACACCAGCTGTTGGTGATGCTGGGATGAAATCCCAGAGGTGAAAGGTCAACATAAATTTAGGGGGGAATGAAGTCTGACCTTCACAGCAAGGGATTGATGAACAAAAGTAACTCCTTCTTCTACCCTAGGCACCTCTGCCCGCCAGTCACTTAAAATGGACTTCCCTTCTAGGGAGCGCAACCACCTCTAGCAGCAAATAGGCAGAGCCTTTATGTATGCTTTGTGGTTGTTGCTATCGGCAATTGAAGCCGAAGCCTTGTACATGCTAAGCTTACATGGGAGCAAGCTCTACACTACTGAGCTACGCCTCTGCTCTCTTTCGCTTTGATTGGAGACAGGGTCCTTAAGTTGTTGCTCTGGACTTGTGGCGTAGCTCAGGCTAGCCTTGAATTTGCAGTTTTCCTGCTTCAGCCTTCTGAACAGCTTGGATTGCAGGCATGAGCCACTGTGTCCAGGTCATTTGAAATATTCTACCATGGTGTTTGTGAAATGAACTGAATTATGTGTTTCTTTAGAGTACTGTTACTGCTGGAGGAATTTTGTCAACTATCCACCTTCAAATGAAGTTTACTGGCCAAGGTACCCAAATCCGTGGATGAGGATGTATGTGCTAGAACTGTACTGCATCATTCTAGTAAGTGATTTTGGTATTCTGTTTGTTTCTATTTTGAGACAGTTCTTGTATAGTCTAGGTTGTCCTTGAGCTCACTATGTAGTGGACAATAGCCTTGAATTCCTGATCCGTTTCCACCTTCTGAGTACTGGGGTTATAGTCTTGTGCTACCACATCTGGCTCCCTAGTAAGTCCATCTCCTCTGTGTAACTTTGGAGCCTGTCCTGGAACTCACTCTGTAGACCAGGCTCACCTCGAACTCAGAGATCTGCTTGTCTCTGCCTCCTGAGTGCTGGGATTAAAGGCATGTGCCACCAACACCTCACTCTCTTCCTCATCCTTTAATGTGCCTCTATGTCTTTATGAATGGATGCTACAAGTGTGCAGGTGCCTGGAGAGGGTCCCTGCAGCTGGAGTGAGAGGTGGTTGTGAGCCACCTGTGGTGGGGGCTGGGAACTGAGCTCCAGAGCAGCCTGTCTTGTGTCAGTTCCTTTGCTGTGGCTTGCAGATCCCCGAGGGAGAGTCTGTATATAAAGCAGGGACATGGTAGCAGATACAGAATGCTGAGAGACTGGATCTCAGTCCCATCCATGTAGGAGCCAGGAGAGGGCTAACTGGGACTAAGGGAGCAATTATAAACTCTCAAACCTGTACTTCCTCTGGCAAGGCTTCATGTCCCAAAAGTTCATCACCTTCCCCAACTGTGCCACCACGGGACAGCAAGTGATAAACTGGAGCCCATGTGGATACTTCATACAAGCGGCACAGCGCCCTTAACCACGGACTACCTCTCTCTCCATCCTCTCATAAATGTGTCTTATTTCTCCCTCTCTCTGTCCCACACTCTTCCTTCCTTCCTTCCTTCCTTCCTCTCTCTCTCTCTCTTTCTCCCTTCCTCTCTTTCTCCCTTCCTTTCTCTCTCCATTCCGTTCTCTCTCCCTTCCCCCTCCCCATCTTTCTTTCCTTCCTTCCTCTTTTGTTTTTGAGACAGTGTCTCCCTATATAACCTTGGCTGGCCTAGAACTCACAGCGATCTGTTTCCCCTTCCAAGTGCTGGGACTAAGGTGTGCACCCCCCCCACTTTCTTGTACATTTACCTAAGGGGCAAAAGCTTTGCTGCAAAGAAAAGGAATCCTCTTTTGTGCTTCTCTTCTGAGGATTTTCCCATAGACTCTCACCACAGTTTGTTTGTTTGTTTATTTATGTCATTTATACTTAAATTTAGTTATTTAACTAGGTAACTCATCTTAAAATGAGAAAACAAGATAATCTGAAGCCAGGCATGGGACACATGCTTGAAATCCCAGTGCTTAGGAGGCTGAATCAAGAGGATCCTGAGTTCAAGGCCAGCCTGGGCTATAAATCTAGACTGTCTCCAAAATCTGCACCACTGCCACCTGAAATAGCTTCTTTAGTGGGAAGCAAGTGTGGGCGGGGGGAGGAAGGGGTGGGTGTCAATCCGTGTAAGGTGTGGCTAGAACACAGTGACTTCATTTTGCCCTTCTTGTTGCTGTCACACTGACCAGAGCCTCAGTGTTCCAAGTGTTCCATAGTGGCAGAGGTCAGTCACACCGTTGAAGAAAAGGTCCCTCATTTGGATTCTTGATCCAAATGGTAGCTCGACTGAATCCCAATAGACATTTTAAAATGTTCACAGTGATAGTGATTAATCATTATTAGTCGGTAATAATTAATTAATAAGTAATTAATAGTGTTAGTTATAACTATACTAACTATAGTAATATAGTAACTATAGAAGATAAACTATAATCTTCTTTGTTTCAGGGACTTCCACCTTGTTTAAAGATTATAAGAAGACACCAACACCCGCTTACGTTTTTCACACTTAATCTCCAAAGTTGCCATTACCAAAGGATACCACCCCACATCCTTTGGGCTACAGGGTTGATATGACCTCTGGGAGTTGGAGATGAATAAAATGACTCCTTGTATATGTACTGTTTGGACAGCAAGCAATGGTGACCTATTTAAAAGTGACTGCCATGAAGAATCTTGATGTCAAGCTGGGCTATCACTCCTGGGTAGATTACTCGTTATAGGTGTGAAGCTCAGGGTTCAGAACTTCGAGGAAAACAGAAAATCTAGACATTAAGTCAGCTATGGCTTGTTGTATACTCCTATAATCCCAGCACTTGGGAAGGCTGAGGCACTGGATCTCTGGGAGTTCAAGGCCAGCCTGGTCTACATAGTAAGATCCAGGCCAACCCAGGATACACAGTGAAACCTCATCAAAAACCAAACCAAAACCTAACTAAAAGCCAAAATCAAGACTCTAGAAATTGAGCTGGGTATTGGTGATGCATGCCTTTAATCCCAGCACTCGGGAGGTAGAGGCAGGAGGATCTCTGTGAGTTCTAGGCAAGCCTGGTCTACAGAGCTATTCCAGGACAGACTCCAAAGCAATACAGAGAACCCTGTCTTGAAAAACAAAACAAAACAAAATTTAGAAATTGAAATTGAAGACTCAGGATTAGGTGGTACATTCCTATAAGCCCAGTAATTGAGTGGTAAAGGCAGGAGAATGACAACTTCAAAGTCATCTTGAGCTACACAGTAGGTTTGAAGCCGGCCTCAACAGATATGAGATTCAGTGTGCTAAATCCTTCGAGTTATGCCAGCAGCCAACATGTCACCAACTTGCATAATAGAGTCACTCTGACCAGCTCAGGATTTGCTTGCCCGCCCCTCCAAAGACTGTCCTGGCATACACCAGTCCCTGGGCACTGAGAGAGGCTTAACCTTACAACTTCTTACAAAGTCTATCTCTGCATTTAAAAATTTTAAATTACATTTATTGATTATTATTATTATTGTGTGTGTGGAGGGAGTTGTGTGTGCATACTGTGGCACTCCTGTGGAGGTCAGAAAACAACTTCTAGTGTTTCCTCTCTCCTACTATCCATTCTGAGGAATGAATGAAGATCGCCAGTTCAAAAAAGTAATTCATCATTATTAATTCTATCCCAGAGCTGTCCCAATAGCCCTATATCTGTACATTAAAAAAAACTGCCGTGAAAGATACCACTTATCAGTTGTTACTGTGTTTGTTTGGCTCCCAGCACCCACTGAAGTTTGTCTGTGAAAAAATAAGGAAAGGATGTTTGTCCATGTGGGTCAGGGGTTCCCACCTCGTTAGAGTCAAACTCAGCATTTTCCCGTTTTGTTTCTATTTTGAGTCAGGGTCTCAAAAAACTTCCAACTCACTATGTAGTCATGGACGACCTTGAACTCCTGCTCCTCAAGGACGTTTTTGTTTTTTATCCGTCCACCTGTCCATCTGGGATCCAGAACTCAGCCATGGTCTCCTCTCTCTAGCCCACTCTGTCTTAGGTTCTGCTCTCTTCCCTTCTGGCTGCTTCTTGTCACAGAAACGCTTCTGGCTTTGAGCACGTTTTCTTGACTCCAGCCATGCTCTTCTATCTTGAAAGGCCACCACAGCTGTGTACCATCACTTGTTCTTATAAAAAGGTTTGTGTTAGGCACAGCATCATGGCCTCTGATCTCTGTACTCAAGAGGTTGAGGCTGGAGGACGATGAGTTGGAGGCCAGCAATTGGGCTACCTATTGAGACTCTGTCACAAACAAACAACCCATCAAACAAAAGACAGAGCAGGGAGGTTGCTTAATGGGCAAATGCCACTGCCCAATAAACCCAGGCAGAAAGCCAGTCGAAGTTATGTGCATCCAGGATCAAGGGAACCAAGGACCGTGTACTGGAATCTCTGAACCTATGAGCTGAAATAAATCCTCCTCCTTTAAAGTGTTCCTATCAGACGTTCTGTTACAGTGAAGAGAATAGTGATGTGGTGGGAAACAAAGACATTTCAACAGGTGAGGGATGAAGTTACTTTTCAGGAAGCATTTGGAGGGTTTACTACGCTAACCCAAGGAAGGGGGAATTACTGGAGGCTGGGACACAATCAGAAGGGAAAGCAAAATCCCCAGCATGTCAGTGGCAGAGCAGTACCAGGGTAAAGCAGATGCAGGAAAAAGCCGAGGAGAGAGCCTGTGAGATTAGGGGATGCTCTGGGCACATCGTGGAAGGTGTTTCAGCAGATTCGACAAGGCATGAAGACTGCTGAGCCCTATCCCATGGGCTGAGGGTCTGTCTGGATGGAACGGAAGGAGAAAGCCAGCAAGCGAGGACATCTTCCCTCTGCTCTCCAGCTCCCTGGTGTGGACTGCCGGGCTCTGTCACACCCTCCTCACCACATCCATGAGCCAAGGTGAAGCTCTCCTTACTTCATGTTGGCCTCAGGCATTGGGTCACCATGACAATAAAGTTTAGAGCAAGACAACGAAGAGACACAGAAAGAATACTTTTTTTTGAAAATGAAATTGAGCTGGGCCTGAGTCACAGGCTAACATCACCAGTAAGTCTATAGGCCAAGGTAAGAGGATCTCAGTGGCAAACCTTGCTTGCCCTACAGACAAGAGTTCAAAGCCAGCCTGGGCAACTTAGTAAGAAGGCCTTGTCTAAAACTAAGAAGTAACAAAAGGGTTCTGGATGGAGGCCTATGGTCAAGCTCTTGTCTAGACTTTAAGTGATTTTCTACATTTTTGCCAATGTTAGGCATAACCTGTATTTTTTGTTTGTTTGTTTTTTGATACAGGATCTCTTTATGTAGTCCTGGCTGTCCAGGAACTCACTCTGTAGACCAGACTGGCCTCAGACTCACAGAGATTAGCCTGTGTCTGCCCCCTAAGTGCTGGGATTAAAGGTATGCCACCACCACCCAGCTAATTCATTAGTGACATTTTGTTGCCTTCAATTTACCCTGTTAAGTAGCATTTTCAAGTAGCTTGGTGCTTCCTGGGTTCATGTAGTAGAGTTAGCTTGATAGACTATAGAATAATTTTTCAGAGTTACTAGGGTTCTATTAGACTATCCCCCTGAGACGAAAAGGGTTGTCCAAGGGCCCTGCACAGGCAAGTGTCCCACTATCTAGTTACACCAGCAATCCATACTAGAGTTTTCAAAATGCCACTAATGAGACCAAGAAAGAAAGAAAATAATTAACTCTTGGGGATTATGTTAGTCACTGTTTTGCTACTGTGAAGAGACACGAGACACATGACAAAAACTTTTTTTTTTTGTATTTTCAAGACAGAGTTGCTTTGTATAGCCTTGGCTGTCCTAGAACTAGCTCTGTAGACCAGGCTGGTCTCAACTCACAAAACTCACAAAGATCCATCTGCCTCTGCCTCCCAAGTGCTGGGATCAAAGATGTGCACCACACTACACCCACCTAACCAAAGCAATTCGTATAAAAGAAAGCAATTGATTGAGGGCTTGCTTACAGTTTCCTAAGGTTAGTTTGTTGTCACAGTGGGGAGCGTGGTGGCAGGCAGGCAGGCACTGGAACTTGTGGCTGAGAGCTACACCTTGGTCCAAAGGTATTGCAGGATGTATGATAACACTGTGAAACCTGAGTTTGCATTTGCATTAATTAAATATAATCAGCCTTGGGTCAGGAGGAGGAGCCAGCAACTAGTTGACAGAAAGTAATCATAGAGAATTAGAGAGAGTCTGGAAGATGGATAGAGAGACCCACAGGAAGTAGTAAGGGGCGGCTTTGAATGGGACAGAGCAGGAGGACTCTGAAGTAGCAGGTTGTCACCCCAGCCTCCATCTCCTGAGAGTCTTACTGATGAATAGGATGATAAGGATTTAGTTAAAACTACATTTGGTGGTGGGGGGCAGGAGGCAGATCCAGCAGAATGTGAAAGCCCCACCAGGCTGCTGTGGGAGAAGGAGGCCAGTAACCGCAGAGCTGCAATTATTGGCTGAAACAGCAGTAGACTGAGGTGCAGCAGCTGTGCCAGAGAAAAACAGTGCAAAGGCAGAGACTGGGCCTGGTCTGGACGTTTGAAGAGCCAAAGCCCACACTTCCTCCAACAAGGCCATAGCCCCTAGTCCTTCTAATCCTTTCAAATGGTGTCGCTCCCTGATGATGAACCTTTCACATGTACGAGCCTGTGAGGGACATTCTTATTCAAACCACCACAGGGATGTGGGTCAATGGTACAGCACTTGTCTAGCCTGTGTGAGACCCTGGGTTTAATATCACCAGCACTGGGGGAAAAAAAAGAAAAGAAAAGGAGAGAAAGAAAGAGAGGATGGAAGAAAGAAAAGGCAAGAAAAATAGAGAGTAAAAAGTATCCTTTCCTTTGCCTTCTAGTGATGTGTTAGTCCCATGTGTCCTTTTCTTCCCTGCCACAGGTATTAAAATAGTAATATCCACTCATTATCATTCTTTATTTATTCAGAGCATCCACGTTTGGCTACATTATTCTTTGACATCTATTACTTGCTTTCCCCTACCTCTTTTGGTTTTTGTTACCTTTTAAAAACAGAATCGGTTTTACTTTTCTAGTATGAATGGGTCTGGGGTAGCCCCAGATGGAGCCTGAATCTTCTGAACAGAGACTCTGGTGTGGGTTTTCACAAGCTGGTCAGTGAATTCCTGATAAGGAGACTTGGTGAACACATCTCTTTCCAGAGGTCAGGGTTGAGTAGTTGTAGGTCTTGGGAGTGCATCAGAGATGTCCTTGGTGGGACTGGAGGGAAGGCTCAGCTGTTAAAGGCTAGACTTCACACAGATGGCCTTGGTGAAGTTGCCCAGGGTGATGGTGAATCAATACTGACTGGTCCACAGCTTTTTGGAGCTGCAGATGATTCCAGTGCCTCTGGGGACAGGGATGAGAGGCACCAGCACAGAGTCACAGAGCCTGTCACCTTGCACAGCTTGGTGTGGGGCTCCCTGATCTTGTTACCTCAGTAACCTCTCTGCACAGGGATAATGGAAAGCTTGGGGAAGATAATGGACCCTCGGATGGCAGTGACTACCTCCATACAGCACTTAAGACCAAGACCAACATGAACATTGCCGTTCCCAATAGTGACAGAAGCCTTAGATGTGGCCTCGTGGCCAACCGAGAGGCAATGCCATTGCACTGGCCTGATCTTTAGAACTTTTTCCTTTAGGG